GCTGTCAACCCCATCTTCTTTTACTCCTATGAAATGATTCCTTCAACCAATATTTTTTCCCCTATGTATTAAGAATGACACTACTTATATATCATCCTGGGAAGAATCAAGAAAATAGTCACTGAAATTATTTTCTGTGTTCTATAGTTCATACAAGGAGCTCCAGTTGAGAAAGGCTAATAACAGACATGCAAACTGAAGTCAGTATAAATGACTTGCTCAATCTACAGCATATGGAAAAGCTAAAGACAGGAAATTCCTGTGCTAAACAGCCTCTCATGTTATTATATAAACTAATCTATGGGAACCATGTTAAAATAAATCCCCTTAACTTCTTCTGTTACCTTTGCCCCCACTCATTCAACCAAAATTTATTGAGATCTGCTGTGTGCAAAGCACTGGGGATTCTACTATGTGCAAAACAGATAAGTTAGTTATAGATAAGTTATAGTGTATTTATCTTTGTGTTTGCCACAGCAGTGACTTTCAAACATTAAACAAAATAAAAACAACAATCTCACTTAATGTGACCCTAGCATATTTTCATATATGGGATGATTTAAGAAGCAATGTTTCTTCTTAAACATATCAGGCCTTCCCTGATAGCTCAGTTGGTAAAGAATCCACTTGCAATGCAGGAGACCCCGGTTCGATTCCTTGGTTGGGGAGATCTGCTGGAGAGGAGATAGGGTATCCACTCCAGTATCCTGGGCTGGAGAATTCCACGGACTGTATAGTTCATGGGGTCGCAAAGAGTCAGACACAACTGAGTGACTTTCACTTAAGAAGCAATGTTTACCTTTACCACAGGTAATCACTCTGATATTTAAACTCTATTCTATTTCATTAAAGTAAAAATGATGATGAATGCCTGTTAAATTGATTTTACAGCCTACTCACAGGTTGGAAATACAGGTTTGAGAACTATTCATTCCCTTTTCCATTCAGTTATCCAAACAAACATTTACTGGTGCCTACTGTGTGCTGGACACAGCTCAGAGAGCAGTTGCTGAGCCCCACCTGCCTTTGTGCTCATCTCCTTCGATTGTTTCTGGGACTCTCTGCTCCACCACCTGACCCACTTTTCACAAGCTAATCCCCATCAACACGTGAAAACATTTAAACAGAAAAGGCAAAATCTCCCTTCTCCACATATCTCTACACAGCTACTGCCCACTAGTCTTAGCCATCCTGTCAAACATTTTAAAAGCATGGTCTCAATATTCTCACCTCCCATTCATTCCTCTGTACAGTGACCTGACTTCTGCCCAGTCATTCATCAAAATTGCTCCCTGTAAAGAGCCCAAGGGCCGTCCTGTCAAATCCAAAGAACAATTTGTCTATTATCCTACTTGCTATCTTCCAAAACTAACACTGTGACCACTCCCTCCATCTCAGCCCTTGGCTTCCATGATCAAATATCTTTGTTTTCTTCCTGTTTCTTTCGGTTTCCCTTTTCAGCTCCATCTTCTCTGCCAATCCCCTGCATGCTGGTCTCCAGAGGTAATCACCTAAGTCCTCCTCTAGCCTCTTTTCATTCTAGTCTCTCAGAATGATGGTGTCTAACCAAGCTGAAAGTCTCAGTCTCTTAAAAACACTTCCTCAAATACACCCAATATTTGATTCACCCCTAGTTTCCATTTCCAAATGCTTCTCATATCTCGTCTCCTCTTCACTTGGACAAATATTCCCTCCTTCCAGTTTTTACCCACTCCTGTCAAACTGTCATAACAATGATTCTAAAACACAAGTCTGACCACGTGTCATTTCTCCATTTATATCACCTCGGTGGTCTCTTGTTGCCTACAAAGTCTGTGATCCTCAGCAGAGCAAATGGGGCTTGTCATGAGGTGGCATTTGCCCCACTGCAGACTCATCTCCTGCAGCCCCCACTCCCTGTCTCGGTTAGAGCCCCCTTGGGCAGCGTGCTTCTCCAGGCTTCTGTGCCTGGGTGGACACTTGCTGCTCTTCCTTCCTAGTGTCTCCTTTCCTCTATTGAACACAAAGCCCTCACAAGGACTCCACTGGTGGACCAATGGTTAAGAATCTGCCTTGCAAAATGCAAAGAAAGCAAAAACAAACAAAAAGAATCTTCCTTGCAATGCAGGGAATGCGGGTTCGATCTGTGGTTGGGGAACTAAAATCCCACCTGCTGTGGAGCAACTAAGTCTGTGCACCACAACTAGGGAGTCCCTGCGCCACAGTAAAAGTCCTGCATGATGCAGTGAAGATCCTGAGTCCTGCAATTAAGACCTGAGGCAGCTAAAAAAAGCCCTAACTTTACAGGCCTCCTCTGAGAAAAGAACTATGTGAGCAGCACACTCCCTGAGGGAGAGGCACTTTCTTTTCCGTGCTCCCAAGGCACACTGGGTTTACCCTGAAGGTGAACTCACACTGGGCTCTTCACTAGTGACCGAGCCCCCATGTCTTACTCATTCTTCTGATGACTTGAGCATACAGCGGAACTGGACACACAGTAGATGCTCGATAAATGTGGCGTAATGTTTAGCCACCTAGTACTAGATGGGTACAAAAGGCTAGAACCCACGCATTGACCCTGAAGATAGCCTGACTCACTCCTGCCAAATTTGTTTTAACAATCTCAAACTTACAGAAGTATTGCAAGAACAGTTTAAGGAGCCTCAGACACACTTCACCTGGGTTCAGCGGGTGTCACCCTTTTGCCCCCCCACGTGCCTCATTTGTCTTTTCTCTCTGCACTGAGTTCATTGCAGACATCATGACGATTAACCCACATATATTTCAGCATGTCTCCCAAGATTGAGAATGCTCTTCTATAATAAATAATGCTCTTCTTTGTAACCAGATTAACATTCAGAAAATGTAACCGTTGACACAGTATTACCCAGTATGTAGTCTGAAATGAAATTTATATTTCCCCAATTATGTCATTTTAAACTGTTTGTTTGGACCCAGAAGCTCTTTTAGGTGATTGTTTCCTCATGATTAGATTCAGAATAAGCATTTTTGGCAGAAACACTAGGTAGGTGATGGTGTACACCTATCATGTCTTTGCTCCATTATTGGTGATGCTGATTTTGATCATTTGGTTAAGGTGATGAGTTACAGATTTCTCCCCTGTAAAGTTTACTTTTCCCTTTACAATGTAGTTAGTAAGCTAAGTGTGGGTATGTTTATCTTTATATTGCATGATTATCTTCTTCCCCAACAACTTTTTATTCATTGATTTAGGTGCTTTTTATCCAAAATTTTTTTATTGTGGTAAAACACACATAAAAGTTACGACTGTAACCATTATGTTTACAGTTCAGTGGTGTTAAGTACATTCATAATGTGCTACCATTACCACTCTCCATCTTCAGAATTCATTTCATCTTGTAAAATTGAAACTCTATATCCACTAAGTTATAATGCCCCACTCTCCCTTCAACTCCTGGCAACCACTGTTCTTTCTGTCCCTATGATTTTTGCTGCTCTCAATACTTCATATAAGTCTAATCGTGCAGTATTAGTCTTTTTGTTACTGGCCTACTTCACTTAATATAATATTAAGATGCTAAGTTCCCATTAAGAGCATAATGTGAATCTCAAATTTCACCTGTGTTGTGGTTTATGTAAGAATTTCCTCCCTTTTTAAGGATGGAATAGTATTTCATTGTATTGCTAATCCAGTTCTTTTCTACTAGATACCTTGTGTTAGCTCTCCGTGCTCTTGACAAAGTGTAAAAGGTGAAATCAAAATGCCATTTTGTTTGGGGGGTCAAAACACTCTGAGGCAGTCTGTTTACAAAATTGTGGTAGGTTTTGGAAATGAAGTTGGAACATAGTATCTCCAGTAAGCAAATGGAGAAAAATATCCTCCACCAGTTCTGAGAAGAACAGACCACAGGGAGAGGACAGGTCATCACAGTGGATCGGACATAGAAGTACCTGCAGACTTCCAACGTTCATACGTGTTCTGCCTTCTAACTAAATATAAACATCCTCAGACCTGTCGGCAACATTTTCCAAACAGTTGACGCAAAGTTCTTGCTGGAAAGTGGAAATTCCTTGCAGGAATCATTAAGTTCTGTAAAATTGCATCAGGCTGCAATAATACACTCTTGCAATCTCCTTCTTTTGTCATCTCCAAAGGATCATGACATGAATAAAATGTAAACATTCCTGAAGTAACTAGGACGTTGGTGGCCTGTGCTACTTGGACAAGTGTTGGAAAGGCGTGAGAGGTGGCGCCCAGGGGAGAGCCAGAGGGCACCAACCCCGAGAACTTTCCACACAACAGAGCAGTGGTGTAGAGACGGCGCGCTCCGACCTGGGCAAGTCGGTCGTACAGCCAACAAGTGCTCGGGCAGCGACCCCGGGAGGCCCGAAGGCCGTCAGCGCGGGCGGTTCCCGCCTGCAGCCTGGTGCTGCTCTCAGGCGCCCCTTTAACTCAGCGCCCCCCTCTGCCAACACTGGAGGCAATCACTGCGGTAATAACAGAGAGTCGTGGAGAGGCGTCCGGCCTTCCGGAGGCGGCGGAGGTTCCCCCTTCCCAGCCACTGCACTTGCAAGTCCCGCGGCGGGGCCCAGAGCCTCCGCAGACCCCACCCGGCCTCCAGGGCCCAGCCCCGGCCTCTTGGGTCGCCTCTCCGCAGAGCCGCGGCTCGGACCTCCCTCCCACCCGCAGCCGCCGCCGCCCCCCGGGTCTCCCAGGCCGTGACCTCTCCCCTCCCCGGCCGAATCCACCTCCGGCCCGGTCCCCTCCCGCGCGCCGGCCTCCTGGGCCCAGACGCCCGCCGCCGCTCGGGCCCCTACCCGCACCCCCGCCCCTTGGCTCGGGCCCGGCTCGCTCTCCCCGGGCGCTCCGCAGCGGGGCGGGCGGGGCAGGCTGGCGCAGGGGGCGGGGATTTCTGGCACTTTCTGGGCGCCGCGAACGCTGTGCTCCTGGGTTCGCCGGCCGGAAACGTCGGCGACCGAGCCGCACCGCCGCCGCGGCCGTTCCTTGTTCTCCGCCGAGGCCGCGCCGCCGCGCTGACATGGCCAAGTGGGGACAGGGGGACCCGCGCTGGATCGTGGAGGAGCGGGAGGACGGGACCAACGTGAACAACTGGCACTGGTGCGGCCGGGCGGGGCCGGGGCCGCGGCTTCCGGGCGGGCCTCCTCGCTCGCAAGCTGCCGGGAGGGACGGGAGGGGCCGGAGGGGCCCTCAGCGAGCGCCCGGTTCCCGGGTGGCGGGGCGGCCGCGGGTCTCAGGGCTCTCCCCTGGCCGCGGCGAGCCCCGGGCGGGAGGAGCAGGGAGGGTTGTGGGGCTGCACAGGTGCAGATGCTTGTCTTTAGCCTCGGGGCTTGGGGAGCCCTTGGAGCCTGGAGACCTGGAGTCTTACCCACACTGGCTCTGGGACTTGACTTTGCTCTTTGAAAGTTGGGTTGGGCCCCAGGAGTAGCAGTCATTCCTGACTTACCTCTTCAGCTTTGGCAGTCTGTGACTTCAGGAGCTACCCTCCGTGGCCCTCCGCTCCAGACCCTTGAAGTCTTGGGGGGGAATTAAAATGAAGCTGGAAAGTTTGCGTGTGTGTGTTTCATGTCTATAGTGGAAAGAACAGGAAAACAGGAATTTGGATCTGAACTCCACATCTAACTTGATGGGTCTCTAGTGAGCCTGCCTTCTAGAAGTTGGAACTAGTTACTCATCCTTTTTCAATCTCATCTAGAGTATGGGCCAATTTCTGCCCCCCCTCCCCCTTCCGCCTGAGCTTTCAGGAAGTGATGTTCTGTGCTCCTTTTCTCTGAAGACTAGGGCTATGCTACCTCGGGACCATCAAGGTGATGCTGAGGCAGGTCCAGGGCAGAGCAAGGCTTTAGCCTGTGAGGGCATCCTGTCCCGGAAGGGTCGGGGGTGGGGGGGAGGGGGGGGACGTCCTGGCCTGAGGATGGGAAGGGCTGACCTCTTCTTTCCCAGCCTTGCCACCATGAACACTTAATAGACTTATCTCAGCTTATTTTCACTCCCCTAAAATGGGGACATTATTTGGGAAGATTGTGTGAGATAATATACGTGTGAAAATACTTAATAATTTGTCTTATTATGATAAAAATTATCTCAGTTATAACTACTTTTTCATGTGGCCCATGCTTTGCCCCTCCATTTCCAACAGGTGAAATTTCTAGACCTCCTTTCTCCCAAATAAGCCATGCCTCCCAACATATCTTAAAGCACTGATGAGACTTAGAAGATGTTTGGTAGAAAACTGGTCTGACAATGTGCTTGTAAGTTCGTGGGTGGCAGGTCTCTCACGTGGTTGAGAGGAATTGGGCAGATCTGGACTGGGCCGGGGACGGGCGTGTGGATACCAGCAAGGGCGTTCATTCACGGCTCTGCCCTTCTTCTGGTCCTGGCAGGACAGAGCGGGATGCCACCAGCTGGTCCAAGGGGAGGCTTCGTGAACTCCTGGTGGGTATCACCGTGGAGAATGAGGCTGGCCGCTGCGAGATCAGTGAGCTGAAGCAGGTGGAAGGCGAGGCTTCCTGCAGCAGCCGCAAAGGAAAGCTGATTTTCTTCTATGAGTGGAACATCAAGCTGGGCTGGAAAGGTAACAGGGGCCTCCAGGTACTGGTAGGGTAGAGTGCAGTGTTGGTGGAGCAGAGTTGGTTGACTCCATTAGTCATTCATTCAGCAGATACGGTTGACTCATTAGTCATTCATTCAACAGATATTTTTATTTTTGGTTGCACTGAGTCTGTTCCTGTGCGTGGGCTTTTTCTAGTTGCTGCAAGCCAGGGCTACTCTTCGTTGTGGCGCACCGGCTTCTCACTGTGGTTGCTTCTCTTTTTGCCTGGCACAGGCCTTAGGCACATGGGTTTCAGTAGTTGCAGCTCATGGGCTTAGTGGTCGTGGGTCACAGGCTCAGTGGTTCAGCTGGCGTGGGGATTCTTACTGTACCAGGGATCGAACCTGTGTCCCCTTCACTGGCAGGTGAATTCTTATCCTCTGGACCACCAGAGAAGGCCAGCAGATATTTTTAGAACTCCTGCGTGGGCCCCTAAATTGGTGTTTGTGGTTGCAGACACACGTAGTACGTGTGGAGTTCTTGCCCCACCTGCTATGGGCTTCCCTCTCTCCCAGCCTTCGGAGCTTCTTCTTGTTCAGTCACTCAGTCGTGCCCAACTCTTTGCGACCCTGTGAACTTCAGCAAGCCAGGCTTCCCTGTCCTTCACCATCTCATTTGCTCAAACTCATGTCCATTGAATTGGTTGGTTGTTCTCAGCAGGACTCAGTCGGTCAGGCACTTGTGAGCCTTAGCATTTCCTGGAGCTGCCGCCTGGACCACTCTTCTCCTGGATTGTTGCATGCTGGCTCCTTTGGCTCCTTCAGGTTCTCATCCTGAGTACATTCTATAAAAATGTCACCTGTCTTCATTCTATAAAAATATCAGATCCTTTTCTTGGACTGTTTCCCTTCTCTGCTTTGTTTCTCCTGAAAGCACTTATCCTTGGCACACTACATGCAGTTATATTATTATTGTTCTGGATCCCCCTTTTCTCCCCATGCATTGGGGCAGAGATTTTTTAAAATAACATCTTTATTGAGATATAATCACATACCACACAGTTCACCTGTCTAAAGTATACAATTCTGTGGTTTTCAGTATATTCACAGAATATGCAGCCATCACTACAGTCAGTTATAGAGCATTTTCATCTCCCCTGTCACTCGCCCAGTCCTTGGCAACCACTGATCTATGTTCTGTCTCCACAGATTTGCCTATTCTGGATATTTCTTATGAATGTTATTGCACAGTTTTTGGTCTTTTGCGACTTTTATTTGGCATAATATTGTCAAGGTTCATCTGTCTTGTAGCACATTTCATTCTTTTTCATGGTTGACTGATGTTCTGTTGTATAGATGTAGCACATTTTGATTATCTGTTCATCAGTTGACAGACATTTTGGTTGTTTTCACTCTTTGGGTCTTTGGGTCAGGGACTGATTAGTTTTGCTTACAGATTACTGCCTGAAAGGTTGTGTATTTGTTGAATGAATGCATTTCTCCCATGGTACCTAGCTCCTTGCTGGGTAGACAGCCTATATTCAGTAAATCCTTGTTGAAAAAACGAGGAGCAAGGGTAAGATTTGGTTCTGGAGGATTGTGCTGTGTTAAAGTTTGGACCTCAGCTCGAGTCATCTCCATTCTTGAGAGCTGCCCAGTTAGTGGCCTTGGGCCTCTGTCCTAGTGACTGTCTTACTGACTTGAGCCAGGCCAGAGCCCAGGGAGGTGTTTAGTGAGCATCAAAAACAGCCCCACTCCTGCCTTGGAATATTCTGGCTGGAGGTTGCCTATCAGTTGCTCCCTCAGTGGCTTCTGCTGGCTGGATCATAGCAGGGTCTGGTTCCTTATACATTCCAGCTCCCCAAGACAGGGCTCTGAGAGCCCCAAGGAAGCTTTTGATCTTGTGTCGCTTCCATCTCCCTTAGCTCAAAGCAGCAACCAGCTCCTTTGCAGTATAAGTCCCTGGCAGGAGCCAGAGGGCAGGCACACCAGTGCTTCCCTGACCCCATGTGCTTTCTTTTCTAGTAGTGAGTCCTAGAGGTGGCTAGTGGGACCCGCTGGGGAGGAGGCAGTACTCTGGTCTTGCTTTTTTTTTTAATTGAACTTTAGTTATATTAAATTTAGCTTTCTTCAGCTTTATTGAGATATAGCTGATTTATAACATTGTATGAGTGAAAAGTGTACAGTGTGATGATTTGCTATATGCATATATTGCAAAGTGATTCTACAGTAAGGTTAGTTAAAACATCCATCACCTCATAGAGTTGTCATTTCCTTTGTGTGTGTGATGAGAACCTTTAAGTTCGGCTCTCAGCAGTTTTCAAGTGAATAATACTGTACTGCTCGCCATGCTGTACATTACTGTCCTCAGAACTTCCCCATCAAATAAGCTGAAGTTTGTACACTTTGTATCTTTTGACCACCTTCACCGCCCTTCCCTCCTCCACCTTGCAAACACCAGTCTACTGTTTCTATGAGTTTGGTTTGTCTAGATTACACATATAAATGAGATCATACAGTATTTGGTTTTCTCTGACTTATTTCACTTAGCATAATGCCCTCAAGGTCCATCCATGTTGTCACAAATGGCAAGATTTCCCTTCTTTTTTGTGGCTGAATAATATTCCATTGTGTAAATATGTCATGTTCTTTTTATTCATCCATGGATGGACACTTAGGTTTCCATGTTTTGACTACCATAAATAATGCCGTTTTGTACATTGCGGTGAAGATATCTCTTTGAGATAGTGATTCCATTTTCTTTGGCTATAAGTGGAATTGCTACATCATATGGTAATTCTGTTTTTAATTTTTTGAGGAACCTCTACTGTTTCCCATAGTTGGCTGCACCAGTTTACTTTCCCACCAGTAGTGCATGAGGGGTCTCTTTTCTCCACATTCTCATCAGCACTTGTTACCGCTTTTTGATAGTGGCCATTCTAACAGGGGTGCAGCGGTATCTCTTTGTGGTTTGGATTTATATTTCCCTGATGATTAGCGATATTGGACACCTTTTCATATGCCTGTTGGGCATTTGAATATTTTATTTGCATAGATATTCAGGTCTTTTGCCCATCTTAATGGTATTTTTTTTTTTGAGTTGTATGAGTTCCTTAGATATTAACTTCTAATCAGATACAGTTTACAACTATTTTCTCCCACTCTGTTGGCTGTCTTTTCATTTTGTTTTCTGTTTTGCCATGCAGAAGCTTTTTAGCCTGACTAGTCCCTCTTGTTTATTTTTGCTTTTGTTATTTGTGCTTTTGGTATCATATCCAAAAATCATTGCAAGACTGACATCAAGGAGCTTTTTCCGTTTTTCCCTAGGAGTTTGATGGATTCAGGTCTTTCATTTAAGTTTTTAATCCATTTCAAGTAAATTTTTACGTATGGTGTAAGAGAGGGATTCATTTTCATCCTTTTCATGTGAATATTCAGTTTTCCCAGCACCGTTTACTGAGGATAGTAGCTTATAGCCATGGAGTAGTTTTGTTTCCCGTGTCATATATTAGTTGACCATGTTTGCAAGGGTTTATTTCTGGCCTCTTGATTCTTTTCCATTGGTATGTGTCTTTTTTTACACCAGTACCATAATGTTTTACCACTACTGCTTTGTAGTAAACTTTGAAATCAGGAATTGTGATGTCTTCAGCTTTGTTCTTTCTCAGGATTGCTTTGACTATCAAGAGTATTTTGTGATTCTGTGTGAATTTTAGGATTTTTTTTCTAAGTCTGTAAATGCCACTGGAATCTTGATAGAGATTGCATTGAATGTATAGATGCCTTTGTGTAGTGGGAACATTTTAACAGTATTCTTTCAAGATATGAGCATGTGTTATCTTTCATCATTGTCTTACAGTTTTCCATCTACAGATCTTTTACCTCCTAGATTAAATTTATTCCTAAGTATTATACCATTTTTGCTGCTATTGTAAATGGAATATTTGTTTCTTTTTCAGATAGTTCATTAAGTTAGTGCATAGAAAAGCAACTGATTTTTCTATGTTGATTTTGTATCCTGAAAGCTTTACTGAATTTATTTAGTCTAACAGTCTCTTGGATTTTTTGTATATATGATCATGTCCTACACAAATAGAAGTAATCTTACCTTTTCCTTTCCAATTTGTATGCTTTTATTTCTTTTTCTTGCTTGTTTGCTCTGGCTAGGACTTACAATACTATTCAATAGGAGTGGTGAGAGTGGGTACCCTTGTCTTGTTCCTGATATTAGCGGAAAAGCTTCCAACATTTCATATGATTAGTATAAGGTCAGCTGTGGGGTTGTTACCTATATTGTCTTTATTATAACAGAGATATGTTTCTGTTATACCCAGTTTATTGGTAGTTCTTATTATCAGAGGACATTGAATTTTCTCAAAAGCTTTTTCTGCTTGGATTGAGATGATCATATGATCTTTATTATTCATTGTTTTAATGTGATGCATGATTTGACTTGGGCATTAAGCCATCCTTGCATTTCAGGGATTAATCCCATTTGCTAATAGTATATGATCCTTTTAATGTGCTGTTGAATTCAACTTGCCAGTATTTTGTTGAGAATTTTTGCATCTCTATTTATGAGGGATATTTGTCTGTAATTTTTTCTTGTAGCATCCTTAACTCACTTTGGTATCCTGGTAATACCAGCCTCTTAAAATGAGTCTGAGAATGTTTCCACTCTTCAGTTTTTGGGAAGAGTTTGAAAAGAATTGATGTTAGCTGTTTAAATGTTTGGTAGAATTCTCCATTGAAATCATCTGGTCCTGGGCTTTTCTTTGTCAGGAGTTTTTTTTTTTTTTATTACTGATTTAGTTTTCTTAATTGTAATTGGTCTGTTCAGACTTTCTACTCCTGAATGGTTCAGGCTTGGTAGGAAATATATTTCTAGGAATTTATCCATTTCTTTTAGGTTGTCCAGTTTTACAGCATTTAATTGTTAACAGTGGTCTCTTATCCTTTGTATTTGTGTGGTATCAGTTGTAATGTCTCATCTTTCATTTTTAATTTTATTTGAGTCCTCTTTTTCTCCCCTTGGTTAGTGTA